TACAACATCACTTTGCGAGCCAACAACATGGCCGAATGGGGCCCCTCGAGTGGTGTGGAGATAAAGACCTTGGAATACTGTAAGTTTTCAGTAGAATAACTGACCTTATTATCCAACTGCAGCGAATACCGTCCGAATAACAGTACAAATACACAGCGATATATTATACAGTTATTTGTACCGTAGAAAACCTGTTTGCCGTACAGGGCGGTGCGCGCGCGCAAAACTGTCACACTCTCCCTCTTTCATTGATAAATTTNATTGACTACAGCAGTTGGATAATAAATCTCTTATTAGATGTTTTGGTGTGTAGTGTCGCTTTATAAGTTTTTACTCGTTGTTATACGGGAAACAACTCGTAAAAATATACAGCGATACTACACACCAAAACATCTAATGAGATATTTGTATGACACACGATATAGTTGTTCAAGCTGTTTTCTACCAACAGCGAGACCAACTGGCGGGGCCCTATTAGGGGTTTTCGGGATACGGGATATTAAGCTAAAATATCTACGGGATACGGGATATTTGGGGAAACAATTAAGAGGATAAGGGATATTACGATCAGCTAAAACGGGATATCGAGTTGGAAAATCGTTAATTTTTGCAATTGCAATCAACGAAATACGGGATATTTAGGACCAAAATTAACGGGATGTGGGATACAATTCGGTTTCCTGTTATTGTTTTCCGTTAATAAGAGACTGGAAACTGAGGAAATGAGCAAATGGGAAGGAAATTTCTGTCTTTCCATTCTGAGCGAAAAAAGAGGACTACCTCTAGAGGTAGTCTTAAATTAACTGTTCCATTTGACTTTCAAACGAAATCTCAGGATATTTGGCTAAACGGTAGGCACTCTAGAACCACTTTGCCCCACATACTGACAGTATTGAATGAAATTACTTGAAGTTGTTTAAAGAAACTACTTGACGGTTTGCACATCTTGAAAAGTTTAGCCTAAATTTTTTAAGTTCGTCGTTTGTAATCTGCGTCAATCTTCTCAATCTTTGACCATTCATTTTCTTTTGTGGTTTATTATTATCTCTTTGGTGTTTTTCTTTGTTAGTAAACTACAATTTCCAGGTTTCCTTCAATTTAAGGTTATTTTGTACGTGGTCCAAATTCCGTGACTGAGCTCCCTTTAGATCCACAATTCATTGAGATCCATCAGCTATGAAAATAAAAACACTAAACGGAAAATTTTCTGGGTCCATTAGATTAACCGAGTTTTCAGTTTTCGCGAGCATATAATGACTGTTTT